TCGCCCACTGCTCCAACGGCGGCCGCTCAGGCGACTGTCCCGCGCACAACAACCGACACTACCACCACCTCCCCCGACTCCAGGGATGAGGATCAGGACTACACCTGCCCTCACTGCGACCGTACCTTCACCTCACACATCAGCCTGGTCGGTCACTTGGGAATCCATCGCACAGAGACTGGCGAACCAGTGCGCGAAGCACCAACCTACACCCACCGCACTCGCCTCCACTGCCCACACTGCCTTAGCACCTTCAGGCGTCGCATGGGCCTTTTCGGCCACATGCGCATCCTCGAGAGCGGCCTTGACCGCACTCCTGACACACCCACCACATCCAACACATCCACCGTGCACACCCCCACCCTCGTTCCATCCGTCCGCGCCACCACCACCATCGCCTCCTCTGTAGCTGACACTGACACCGCCGACTTCTCATGCCCACACTGTCCACGCACATTCACCTCACGCATCGGCTTGGTCGGTCACTTGCGAATCCATCGCACGGAGACTGGCGACCCAGTGCCTGGAGCACCCACCTATACCCACCAAGCTCGTCTCAACTGCCCACACTGCCCTCGCACTTTCAGGCATCGCATGGGCCTATTCGGCCACATGCGCATCCACGACGACCTGCGGTAGACAACCGCCGGTTACACCACACATCCACACACTCCCTACCTCCTCCACCACCACCGTCACCCCACCAGAAATCAACACTCACACACCTCATGCACCCAACTGCCACCTCCCACGCAAGTGGGAAGTCCGCATCTCGACTCGATCCCCATGCGGCTTCGCCTGCACGGGTGACTTGAGTCCGAGACTATCCCGACACGTCAAGCGTCGTGGATAGGAAGGTTGCTGATTGACGCCCGCTCTCGGTTTACGCAGTTCGTCGCGTTGTGTGTGCGTGTGTTGTGTGGAGTGGCGGACTGGTGGGCTGGGAACGGGCTGAAACAGCACCTTCCACGGCACTCTCACGCAAGTGAGAGACACGCCGTTCAACCCCCGTTGTGTGAAATCCTGGTGTTGTGTGTATGGGGGGCCAGGTCGTGCCGTGGCGCGCGCAGTCATGGTCATTCGACCATGGCAGCCACCGCGCCCATTCCCCACTCCAGTCTGCTGTCCGGCTCGGACAGCGGCTGGGGTGTGGGAGTGGGAAGGGCGAGTGAGGTCGACGACTCAGCGCACTTTCTCCTCACTATAAACAATCTGACGCGCTTGAAGCTATCACGGTGCGCTAAAAGCCGTGGCTTGGAAGGTTGCCAACTGACGGGGTAACTTGGACCTCCTCCTTGACTGGAGGTGGTCTGAGAGTCAGGCTGCAATGGCTCCTTTTTAATGTGGCTTTTATGGCACTCCCATCACAGTGTGTGATCCGAGCCAGGCTTTGGCGGCACGCCCAGGTGCGGCTTCGGCCGTGCCAGCCTCCAAATCTCTGTTGTGTTGGTTGAAATCCTGGTTATCTGTTGTGTGGACCAGGGGGTGTGGTGGAACGCCAAGGTGAGGATCCGTCCGAGCCATCCACCTGCGGCCTCTCTCGTCTCCGGTCTTCTTGACTCTGTCTTGACACCGGGCTTGGGCGAGGGAGGAGGAGAGAGCGTAGGTAGATGCTACGCAAGTCTACCAGCACTATAAACCCCTGCGTAAGTCACCGTCCCTGCTCCCATTGCTGCTGTAACTGTGGGGCACACGGTGGACATCATCGAAAACGATGGCATCAGGAAACCATAGCCATCGTAACGTAGTATGTGCTGGCAGTTCCCTGACACCTGGTTCCCTGCCGGTAGATACGCTTGCGTTCCCGCTGGGTATACAGGTGGTAGGCATGGCTGCTCAGTCCTCCTCTTCGTCCTTCTGACCCGTTGTGGTGCTGCTGTTAGTTAAAATCCTGGTCAAGCATTTGATATGGACCAGGGGCTGTGGAGTAAAGCGCTGAAGTGCAGGCTCGAAAGTGCCATCCACCTTAACTCTCCTCCGCCTCCGGTCTTCTTGGCTCTGTCTTGACATCGGGTCCAGGTGAGGAGCGGGGGGGGGGAGACAGAGCGCTAGATGCTGTGCAAGTCTACTATCGTTGTAAACTAATTCACATACAAGTCGTCGTCTGTGTTTTAACATGCTGTGGAGCACAGGATGGATACGGAAACGGCGGTCGAAAAGTCGAAGGCGGCAAGGCTTATAGGCATCACCATTGAGTTATTCGCTGGAGACCATAGAATCCCTTCTTTTGTTTGTTATATGCGCTGCAACACTGCTGCTGAATACGAGGAGTTATCTTCTATAGAACACCCAGGCAGAAAGTGGATTTCATACACGTCATGTCTTTCATATGAAGGAGGCTCTCTGGTCCAAAGGTATCCGGAACGTTCTGTTCAAATATTTGTCTGAAGAAGTGCTTCAGGAAGGGCACAGCAACTAGGAAAAATAAAATGATAGATCCTAAGTTGTGCACGCTTTCCCTCTTGCCTAATATACATGTTTTCAAGCGTATTATCGTAAGTGCAAATATACTCTTTGCCTGTTCTATGCATGAACCTGGAGAATCAAGGCGCAGATATATACTTTCATCTGTCGCCCCGACCTAAATAACGAAAATAAACGAGACGACAAAGATGGTAATACTGCTGTTTTCGTAGCTCACCGACTGTCAATGGAAAATTACCTGATAATCTGCTTCCTTTCAAGTTTTGTTTGACCACTTGGTTTCTTCTGCGAGAGGGAAAATCTAATTTAATTATTTGGTTTAAAGAGAGACTGGGCCTGATATTGAGTCGTCGCTCTTCAAAATAAATGAAGACTGGAAGCACCCATGTTTTTGACTAATTTTTGAAACTTGTCAAAATTTTCCTGAAGTTTTCACAGTTGTTCAGTGCCAGGTATAATTATTCTCCCGGGTAAACTACGTCGTCTCCATCGGTCTAACGAACAGAATGCTCTAAAGAGATTTGGAGGTTACGCAGGCGCCTACACTAATAGTGGAACATGGCCGAAAGTTAAGAGTCTGCGTAGTCGTCCGTACGCGGAGCACGAATATTTCGGAAAAGAGGACGTTCAACGCCTAGAACACATAAGCAGCAAGGCAGAAGAGGCTAAACCAAGCTAGTATTTATTAGTTTATCACGAACAACCCTCTTCTAGGCTGGCTTTTTTTGTCCCTTTTTCCCCATAATGGCAAACAGAAGGGTCGTGCTAATCCGTGCCTGCTTTTTACTGGTATTAACTAAACAAGGAAAAACAAGTCTTCCTAATAGGCCAAGCACACTGTTTTTTGTTGGATAAAGCAAGCCACGGCGTAAAGTCACACATACTGGCGCCTGTCCCTATTCACGTGTCAGGAAGGCCGACAATTTGTCGAACTTTAAAATGCTCTGGCATACAGGTCTCCGCGTTTTCATATTAATGTGCGCCCTGGACAGCGTGGCACGATAGGGGTCAGTCTGGGCTGTCCCTCGTTATAGTGTTGGTAAAAGGACGCATAAGTAATGCCACGGCGACTCCTCGCACAGCCCGCGATTGCCGCGATGGAAACTTGTTTTGACAGCCTGAGAGTGCACCAAAAACGCCTGAGGGGACGGGGATGTATCAAAAGTAGCCGTGTAGCAAAATTCCCCTCTCATGTTAGCGTTTTCTCGAGGCGTCCCGGTAGATGATCGAACAAAGCGCATATGTGGATTCACAATTAGTCTCCGTGAGAGCGGTAGCTCCAACGGTTCCCTAATCTTTTGGGCGGATAGGGAGACCTGATACCTATTAGCATCCCTGGTGGAATAAAGAATCATAGTCGAACTCTCGCATGAGGTTTGTTATACTTAGTTAGGAGAATCGCTTAGTTGACGTGAAGAGGACGGCGTCGATTTCCTTCGAAGGTATTCTAAGGGTACCGCGGAAGCAAGTAGTCGGGAAAAGTTCCTTTTGAGTTCCGGTAACTAACTACAGTGGTACAATGAATATAGGTTTACTTACACATGGAAAACGATTTGAATCAAAGTCGGCCGAACGTTTTTGGGACAGAGGATTGAAGTCGCCGGCATTTACTGGCATCTCGCTGTGCACATTTGGTCCAATATTGTTGTTGTTGTTGTTGCCATTGTAGATCTGCATAACGTTATGTCCTAAAAGTAAACATTTTTTCGCAGACTTATAAGCTCATACATTCGAGTATGACCTTCATATGATTAACAGGACAGTAATTTATAACTAAAAGATTGACGGTATAGACGTCTAAAAAGTTACGTAATTTGTCAACCTGCCACTGATATGGACCGTTGCTTTAGATAAAGGAAAACCCTATAACGAAAAAGACAGGAAAATAATGTCTCAGTTTCGGGCTTTTCAGTTGGCGTCAACACGTTTATTCAGGAAGACGACCACCCAAGACGCGATGACAGTGGCTAATTAACCTCGGATCGCCAGTTCAGTCTAGTTCACCTTCCTCGATATTTGTATTGCTTTGTTGTTTATCGATTTTGAGTCCTTTTGTCAGAACTGTGGATCGCATGAAACTGACATGTCCATTCGAATGGTCGGTTAGTTGTAGTACCAGTTCCGCATAAATTAAATGTGTGTCACTGACATGAACCAGAGGGTTACAGGAAGAAGCAGTCAGCATAGGAACTGTAAGGACAAAGTGTCAGGTGGCGGGGCGGGGAAAACCTTCGACTGGACAAACTGTTTATGATCCACTCGATAAAAGTAATCAGTAGACGATTTGCAATACATGTGTGCGGATGCTTGTGTTTCTGATCCGCGGTGGTGTTATGAGTTGGTAGAGGTTAAACGAAGGCAGAATAAGCCGAACGAGTTATGTTTTAATCAGTCCAAACCACCATAGTAACTCCTTTCTGATAATATGCTAATGTAACATTTGTAAAATTCCTACGATGATAGTTTGTTTTAAGAGTCAGAAAGTATTTCCGTGCTTTTGGGATTGATGGATCATTGTGTAGAAGGTGTTGCCGACCGTCACTATTGCGATGTCCGGCGTCCTTATCCAAAGCTCCTTACTCCAAGGTCAGTAAGCCTCTGCAGCCAGCAGTTGCAGACGCCTTGTTCTGCTGTCACGCAGCCGGCTTCTACTCAGACGCACAGACAGTCGTAGCTGCTCGGGCGCCATTTGAATGTACCACCTTTCGGCAAAGATAACACTCCCAAAAATGGGAGAACACGAGTTTGCTCCACGAAAGTATCAAAGTAGCTGTCACTACTGTAGCACTTACTCATGGGTATGATTCGCTAGCAACCACTGTCGCCTGAGAGGACAACATGAGATTCTGTACATAGCAAACCACACAATCTAGTGACTTCAGTCTGTCAACTACAACTCGACTTTTTCCAGGTGAATGTAGCCTTTTGAGTGTACTTCCACCTTTTATGCGCTACGTAGGCACCCACCTACTCTAAAAAATATAGTTCTTATCACAAGTTAAAATCATTTGGAGTGTATCACGCCACTTTTCAAAAGTCAAATCTAATTTATTTCCTGCTGCGGATTTACATTTAGCCCTTCAGGAATGAATTATTTCAAAAATACTATGAAAAGACTGACTTAGTTATATCTATAAAACATTACGCCTTGATTTGTCAACAATTATTCATTCTGAGACAGAGCAACAAGTATATCAGTTACTTCACTGTCGTTAAAAAATTTCCCGACTCCATATGTTTCCCATTTGTTACGAAGCCTCATCAAACTGCACAGGCCTACCCCACGGCTAAAGTTATAATGCGGTTTCAAGGCACGGGGTCATATTTCCGGCAGGTAAGAAATTTGTCTTGGGGAGAAATTTAATCATGTGCCCAGGGAATATGGGCAAGGGGTCAAAAGGGTCTTTTATAGGAGTGATTTCTTGTGCATTCGACTTTGGAAAATAATCTCAATGAATATCAGTGTGTTTCTACATAATCCTGCATTTGAGCTGAAATTTAACTTCACATCTAGCTGTTTCATTTTCCATCATATGACAAAAACAAAACATCTCTCTTAGACGTGAATTGCACATTCAATATATTGTTTGTATTACTCAAAGGTGAGTTCTGCGTGTTAGATGGGTAAAACCTTTAAATAAAACGGTTGAAGTGGGTAGGATTGTTATGCCGCTTCAATTCTGTAAGCTACTAAACTACCTTGGAGGGAAGGGCTGTGCACGTAAACATCAGATCGACGTTAAGCTTTACAATGCGTCTCTATAACAACAAAGTACATTAAACGGAATAACTAGAGTATACGTGTTAGTTTGTTAACTTAAAGGCCCACAGACGGGACAGTATTTTATAGTTTTTCTTTGTGGAAGACCTAAGTTAATTAATAACTCTTCCAAACTTGACAAAAATTAATGTGGAGACCAGGAAAGAACAGTAATAATATGTGGCAGCTAAGGACGAAATCCACAAAAGATCCATAACATCAACGAACTGTAGTTGCATTTTAGTAATGAACAACTGCAACTCATGAAGTCAGATTTGGAGATCGACAGTGGTCGCAAATTTATACAAAAGTTACCAGCTTAAAAAACGTTAAAAAGAAAATACAGTAAATCACACGCACGATTGTTTTTGCTCCACGAAAGTCATTAGGTAAGCCAACCTCGTCTACAGCACTCGATGTCATACAAAAGCTTTTGCCTAATTTTATCGGTACTACCTATGTAAATGCACCAACAAATTTGCTTATGTTTGACTTTTAACACTTTCGGAAATGTTTGTAATTACTTGTCAAACCAATTTAATAAGTTGGCAGTCAGGAAGTTGCTAATTCAGCCATTAGAGTTTACTTGGGTTTTGAGATGTCCACCTAACGTTTTGCACGGTCGAAGAAAATCCTTTACCAGTTGTCAACCCAGAACTAAACTATTTTGTGCATAAAAATTTTGAAAAGCCGCTACTAACAGTTCAAACAACATTTGGGGCATTTACCATGCTAATAGTCTAACTGTAAAATCAGGCGTTTTAATGTGGTATGCAAGAAAATGTAGTCGCATGGATTTCGATTAATTTGACAATGAAGATTCCTACATAAATCACGTTTGCTCTCGTTCCTCCCAAAGTGCTTAGGATTTGGATGAAAAGCAAATGTGTGCGTTCATACGAAATTCTGGTGGTGACTATTTTAGGTCGTCCCCTGTTTCAATGTTGGGCTGGCAATTAGCGTTAACCTAGGAAACGATAAACACGATGGGCTGGACGATGAAAAGTGCAGAGGGTCAACCTCTTCGAAGAGCGGATTAGATTAGCGGTATATTTTAAAGACAAATTTTGTTTTCAGCCTTTGCACGAAGAGTTTTTGGATTTTACGTCCATTAAAGCGTGCGCAGCAAGATTCCTTCCCACTGGCATCATAAAACAGGCATGTCCTATTTAGACTGAATGTGATTCCAAGACCAGACAAACGACAGAAGCCCCAGAATGCCCGATATGTGCGGAAATATTTGCTTCCAGAAGACCGTTTAATCGGGATATCAATTAGGAAACTTTTATTACTGATTTTGTTCGCATTAGTTGGCATAGGAGATTCAATATTTTCAGGAATTAATAAATGCATGGCATACAGAACCAGCAAATAAACGTTTAATAGAAAGGAACAGAAGCAACCACGTATATTTCACTCAAGAGTGGTAAAAATGATTTCTATTTCTTCTTTTTTTCCATCGAAAGGTTTGTCTTAACTTGGTCTGTGGTAGAGATACGTTCACCTATTGTTCTTACGGAACTCACGCGTCCCGTTGGACCTTTGGGCTCTCACTCGAGCCCGACCAGCAGCCACACGGCGGCGCGTAATTTGGGCAAAATAACAAAAACGACAAAAACAAGGAAGACTGCAGCGGAATGAGCGTCCGTCTATCATTGTATATTCGTGACTGCAACCGACAGGGCGACGAACCTGAGGTTCAGTGGTTAGAGGCGTTAGACTTCAGACCAACAAGTCGCGGGATCAAGTCCCAGGCATTCCAAGTTTCGCGGTTTGTCGTGACTGACTGACGACCGCTAATAAGCCAGGAATGGCCATTCCGGTCTCCTTCGTCTTTTTCGGTAATGTTATTTTGACTTATTTCAAACAAACTAATAGGGGCAGGTCCTCTGTGTAATTTTTATTTATCATGTGTTTATCTTTCGGATTAGGTTTACGTATACTTAGTCAGAACCTCTGAAAGCAGCCATCAATAAAAACTTAGCTTGACAAAAATACTGGAGATGCATATTGTATTAATGATCGTATATTTTTCGTCCCTCAGAACTGTCATCAGGAACATTTTTAAGAGTTTGTGCGATATTTTCGCCGTTACAGCACAACCTTTTGTGCTGTCCAAAGTGTTATTGGGCAGGTAAAAATGGGGTGAGTTTTCAGGGCTTAAGAAACGGCAAACAGCAAAATTTGATTTTTTCCTATACCGAATTGTACTTACGTGTTCATGGTAAACTATGCATGTCTGAGCCGACACTCATTTTATCTGAGATGCGATGCCCTAGGTAACATTGCGAGAGGTAAAGCTGATTGTGACCGTTTTCCTTACTTTACATGCTGGAATGGAAGTCTGGGTGTGAAACGACAACTGAGCTTCTGCTGACCACTACTCGCGAGAGAGACGGCGTTCGCAGATGCGCCCGTAAAGGCACACAAAATGCCATGTCCAAAAACCCTGAGGCAAGCCCCTAGGCGTTTCGAAAGTGCGATAGGAGCCGAACAGACCGCAATTAGCGAGAGAAAATAATAAGTACAGCTATTTACTGAAACCTTTCACTCACAGGACCATTTTAAACGTGCATAGGCACCGCCTTTGACGAATTTTCGCAAGTGGCGAACGTCTAGACAATTCTGGCAAGCTTTCTATCTAAAAGCGCATATGCGCAAGCCCAAAAGCTTGCGTGTGTGCGCATATTAGTCTTTTTCTGATAAATAAGTAAATCAGCTAATGCAAATATGCTTGCACATACGCAAAATCAAGGTTAGAGAGAACAGGAAAAGGTCTCGATCAAAGTTTTTCTACTACATTTAACAACTCACGATTTTAATATAAGAAGCACCTACTGAACATTTGGGACGGACGTCAGTAAATAAGACTAATGGAGGACACTGTGACTTCCCAGTCCTGATGGCCATGAAGAAATGCGAGGGAACAGGAAGGAGAGAAAATGACAACCGGAGTCCGGTGCAAAAGTTATTTAGGGAGTGGTCAGAGGAAAACACTGCATGCAATGTCCCGCCCAGATTTAAAGCTCGAAAACGTCGGGGAAAGGAAGCATTTGGTTGAGAACGTTTGATCTTTTCATCAACATTAATTTTTGCAAAGTGAATGAAGCTAAGTACCCACTTGCTACAACTGGTCAATTATAAATGACCGATAGGTTCGCTATCCCGTAAAATGGGCACTTAAGTTTTCACCAAAGGACGAACGTAGAGGGAGGTAAAGAAGCTTGAAGACCTCACATTTGGACACCGGATCGACTGATATTTTGCCTGCTTTATAAATGCAAATTAAGCCCTGGCGGAGAAAGCATTTTGATGGGATGACAGATTTTATTGAAGCACATATTTGAGCCTTATTTTGGTCAGCCACAATATAGGCAGTGATAAATTTATCACATTCTTAAATACGTTTAAGCGAAAGACCAGCTTAACTAGAGACAATAACGTATAACAGTTGACGAAAATCATTAAAGATGCGCAAATTTGCAAAACCCACTTAAACTAGTTGGAACTCCGCTCAAATTATTGACGAAAACTCGCAACTAATAACAAAAGTCTTGGCTTAGAGGAAAACATAAAACGTATTATGCCTCATATCACGTTGCTTAGAATTGACAGCTTTCTTACGAAAGACTGAATATTCACGTCAAATAAGTTGCATAATTCGTAGAAGTTCATAAGGCCTATCCGTGTAGACTACTGACTACCTAAAGCAGATTAGCAGAACATGGTCTAAAAAGGCTCTTAAATAAACCCGTGATTAACTATCCTAATACAAAAACGGTGTTTTTCATTGCAGCTACACATCTGTTTGAAGCCTGGCCATATGCTTGAGAATGATATTATAAGAATGCGTTATAACTTTCCATTTACTCATTGCTTGAAATCCGTTTGACAAGGACCAAGACGACATTTCTGATTGTAACAATGAATACGCCACATTACATTTTTAAAAGATTGAATGTGGAGAGTTGACCAATAACTAACAACCTGGAATAAAATTAAAGAATAAAAGCGAGTGCATATTACTTTGGGTTTCAAAGAAATGCTTCTTCCTCATAACTACTCGCAACGGCAAAGCCTACTGGGTTTTTTAATGTTCCTGAAATATCAAAAAATTATTCGGTTTTTAATGTTCTCAGTCGACGACCGAAGTTATTAGTGTCATCAACGCCTATGAAAGTCTTCACAATAAAGGACCATTGGAAGTTTTACCTATTCAAATAACAATTTTGGCTGCGTTTCTGGGCCCACTGGAACTTAAAACCGAACTGCTACAGAAAACGCAGCTTCACAGTATAGGGTTGCGACTTATACTTGTCTTAGTTAACGGCCGTTTTCTTAATGAGTTACCTTCATAAACTGTTTCGGTTGGTTCTTTCTCTCACGGTCATTTATGCTGCTTATCATTTTTCAAAGAAAATTCGATAAAAACGCGAGACGTTTTGACTGCTAATGTTCTTTCCTTGAAAATGTTGAGCCCTTGTTTAGTCGTATATGAAACAATGGTATTTTACCGTTTTATAAATGTTATATTTGTCAGTTTGTCTATTTCGCCTTCATAATTAACGTATGAGTACTAAAATATTCTCAAATGGGTAGGTTGTGGAAGTTTCGCATCAGCAGTACGCATTAGTGCTGCAAAAAATACATCTTGGCACACCCCAAAGTTAAAGTAGCCACCTAATGGTGAGCCTTTCATGGTTGCTTGTAGAAAAACTGTCTACTTGTGTTTATTTTCCTTTTAAGGTCTAAAATTACCCAGGTTTCAAGGTAAAATGTATAAGGAGACGAAACACTTACTTTCCTGAAGACAGAATGTGTGCTGACACATTGCTTCACCTGATTTACTTGAAAATGTTTCAAGCTAACTGCAATAATTTTGATGGTTCTTGCTTATTTGTGTCAATGCAATAACTTTGAAAAGCGCGTGTAAACATGTACGTGTGCTAGAAGGCATTTATTAACCTAGCGAACGATATCTAGAAAGGGCGACTTTTGCTAATGAAATAATTTCACAGGCAGCTACCATGGGCGAAAGACTGTGTCGTAACATGATAGGCTAGTAAGTAAAGCAGACAATGTTTCAGTGTCAGCAGAATGGTCATTTATTCTTAGATCCCTGCATTTCATGAATTAAGTCTCCTAGGACCGGTTGGTATACTGATATTCAGTAGTGTACACGAAAGTTAACTTTGCAATTTTTTGCAGTTGAGCGAGCCGAGGGCGATTTTATTGAAATTCCTGGGACTGCGTGCTAACAAACTGATACAAGACATCGGTTCCCATATGCGTTGATTCTGTATGATATTAACTGTCTTTCCGACGCAGGGTCATTTGAAGCTTATTTATTCTATCGCAATTTATAGAATCTGTGTCTAGTACAGAGTGATACTGGCATACGGCAATTCAAAGACAATGCTCGCAGAAAATAGATGTAAGATATAAATAATGTGACAAGTGGGATCCTTAAGGCATTGAACTGTTTCATTTGATTTCGCAAAAAGGTCTGTTTCTTACGGTCAGTTAGGCTATATTCCTATATTCGTTTGGACAAATAAATGGGTATTTGGCTAGTTTTTGCCGGAGATTTTGCCGACGGTTAAATAAAAAGGTCAGAATTTGTGGACGACCGAACACTGGGTGCAAAAAACAAGAAAAGTAACCATCAGTGACAAAAAGCCCTTATAGGGAACTCGAACGAATAGATGTATAAATGAGGCGAGAAGTAGGACGGAGACATTCGTACACGATAGCGGTTGCTACTGCACTCCTGTGATGTTCACATAAATCGGAACCTTTTGTAATTTCTCCTGTTCGACGTTTCCAGGATTCAGGCAGTTTTATGGCCAACTGGCAGACTTTGAATAGAGAAACCTACTGCTCCACCCTAAATTTGCCGTCACCCGAAATACCTCTAAGTTGATGAAACTTCTCTTATAACTCGGAAGTCGACTCAAGTATATCGACCAACATGCCCGGTTAACAGGGGTTGACATGGAGTTAAATGATAACAAAAAAGGAGAAGTAGAAGTTTTCTGATGCTTAGAAGTAGCGGATTCTCTACGCAAATCCGAAATGATAAAAACGCCAAAAAGTCGTGTGAGATGAGTAAAAAACAGTTTTTTGAGCATGCAAAGTCTATTCATGCAAAACAGAGCAACTAAAACGGCACAAATAAAACACGTTTGAAAATAGTCCTTTAGAGAAGTTTGCGCTTTGATATCTTTCGAAACTTAGTTTACCCTCAGGAAAAACGGGCAGCCAACAGTCTAGATTCCAAAAGCGGTTTCCTAAGGGCCAGCTATATTTTTCTCTGTGTTTGCATTGAGAAGGGATTGATTAAGGTAAAGCAGAATTTGCTTGATTTCGCCGACAGGGGCGTCAGGTGACTAAAGGATTCCTTAAGGTCACAAGTTGGCAGGCCAGACATTGACTAATAAATTCAAATAGAATTCGCAACTCTTATCTTAAAATACCGTTTCTGTGTATCAGAAGAGCTTTCCGTTAGATTCGTGTAATGTTTGTGGTCACGACAAACTCTTTGAACTTCAGGGTGCCCTTGAATTTTCGGAGAAAACTATGCTGCTTTCATTGTTTCATACTGACTGCCAACTAAGATAGGTTTGGTGCTTTGTTTATCAAAACCTTAACAGTAGGGTATTTTCGAAATCAGTTACCGAATAAGTGAGTCTTCGGGGATTGATTCTAATGCCAAGTGACCGTTTGGAGGTGTTTGTAAAGCCATCAAAGTATGAAACGTCATCGTCGGAAAATGGAAATCCACAACGTCACTAGGCCATAAATATACTTTTGAACATTTAAAAGAAATTAATATTTCACAGTATCTCTTTAGGAGGGCGCTTTACTTAGGTATTCTGCCGACGGAAGCCTATGTACTTTAACTTTATCAAGAGTGAAGTGGAGGCAACAATTATAACGGTAGTTGGGCTTTTTCACATACATAAATAATAGTGATACTTCTTTTGCAAACGAGATGGCTCCCTTTAGTCTTTATATTGAGGGCATTTCCGTTGAATTTGCTTAGTTTTAAACACCTAACAAATCGGCCATACACGTATCAGGTTTTACCCACACTGCTAGTCCTCTGCTAGTCTCGCTTTAAAATTGCCTATTAGCAGAAACTAGATCATACAAAGTATCTTACAGTATGCACAAAAGATTTTATACTTGCTTTTGGATGGGCGTTTTCGCAGCCGCTTATGAAGTGTTCACAAATGACAGAAAAACATCGGCACGTTTGAACACGGGATTGCTCGTTGGCGTCATTGCTGCATTTTACGGCCTCAAGTCGCACTGATCTAAAAACTCTACTTTTTAGGTCTGATAAAACATCTCATTTTCTATGAATAACATGTTTGTTCAGATCTCTCTTAATCTGATTTTCGGGAGTATACAAGAATTTTTTTCCAGTGCAGTGAATATTTTCGGTACAGTTCTCGAGGTAATACTACTCTTCTTTAATAAAAACGCGTGGATACGCAAAAATAGCTAGTATCAGATATTAACATGCAAGGTAACATAGGTTTCCGTTTACATTTATAAAGTTTTTGCTCTATGGTTCTTATTTATAAACATATTCTGCATACAAGAAGGATATTTTCTGGAACCTGATAAACAAACAAACCAAAGGTAATGCATTTAATATGCCTAAAGTGGACCATTTAAACACTCTTCATCACGTTTCACGAATCAAGAACCTCATTGTATGTCATTTCAACAGTCGCGAATGACAATATCCACCGTGTGCCCCAAGATGTGTCGAGACGAACGGGTATTTGCTCATTAATTAGCTTATTAAGCAAAATTAAGTTGTATCTGCCTATTGCAGAACCAACACAGCCGAAAGCGGGCTCGGGGGCAGTGGCCGACAAAACCGAACAGCCCGCGTAGTCTACCTGGTGGGCGCACAAGGGCCAGGTTTGCACTAGACGAAGGGGGTGCACGGATTCAGTCTCAGTGGCAGTGTCATAGATGTTCCATTAGGAGAGGGCCATTGGGCAGCACTTTTAGTCCTCGAGTCAATCTCCCTCATACACACACGGAAGTCCTTACGACTTTTGTCACTTGCTGACAGTTTTAAAGCCCGTCAGATTTATTGCTGTGAAGAATTTGTTGAAATGTCGCCTGGACGAGCTCCCCATAGTCGACCGCACATCCTTTACAACGGTAATATAGCATTCCATTCCCTGAGCTGGTCATCTGCGCTCGGATTGGGCGAAATGACTGAGAGAGACACAATGGCCAGTCTGTTTGCGTCACACACGATCTGGTCCCCCATAATGCACCAGGCTTTGCTTAAACAGAGCTCCCCATGGAGATCGCGCATTTTACATACAGTAGGTGGATTAACTCATGAAAGGTCAACCGAAATTCCGAGATGCGTTTTCGTTTCGAAATAATTAATTAGACAGTGTTGTAAAACTAATAATCGTGCAGCATAATTCTATAATAATTCAGTTATCTCAGGGTGCTGGCATCCGAACGAACTTCTCTCCGGCTGCATGCAAAAACCACACTCTGTAAAAACGACGACATATATATCATGCTTTTTATCCTTCAATTTCGATGCCCTATAAAATTCAACTGTATTTCATAGAAACAATGCACATAAATATTTTAAGAGCATCGAAAATCTTTGATAAAAGCACGCTAGTTAATTTGTCACTTCTCACAGAGTACGGCTTTTGCATGCAGCCGGAAAGAAGCTCGTTCAAAAGCTGGCATCCTGAAGTAACCGAATTATTATAGAATTATTCTGCATGATGATTAGATTTGCAAGTCTATTTAATTGATCTTTTCGAAACGAAAACGCATTTCGGAATTTCGGTTGACATTTAATGAGTTAGCCTATCTACTCTATATACGCATGGACGGGGAACCATAAATACAAGGGAGACTGGGATGACCATTTTGGAATATTAGCCGCCATTAACTAATCATGCCCAACTGCAGATTTGAGTCACGTGAGATTGGACCCCAGGATCTCTGAACAGTGTTCAGATCGGGAGCTTACGTGAATCACTTGCATACATAAGTGCATTTGCTCAATAGAGGAAGAGGGACAAGTGAAACACGAACACTGCATTTTACGCCTACCGATATTTCGAAAACGTCTTTTAAAAGCTTACGTTAACTCAATTTCTAATCTTCTTTCATCGGTTGGATTATGAATGAGGCTTAAGTAATTCCACTATTTTCATGAAATACATGAAACTGTATTAGTGAACCTTGCAGACGATAAATGCATAATTAGTTCGTATTTTCAGTGCAAGACGCTTCAGTATGTCCGTGAATGCGATTGCAGTTAGCGATGAAACAAATCGGTTTCTAAGGTCAAAAAAGTTTGCTTGGAACCTATCATGGCCATGGTCGATATTCTAGATTTTTGTCGATTTCCATGAAGACCACTGTCAGTTCAATCAAAGGTATTCTTACTAGGTTAAAGCCACCCAGTTCGAAAATGTAGCTCCTCTACCTAGACGATGTTTTCTTCACTTCAAGAAGCTGCAAAATTTAATAACAACATTTAAACTCGTAAGATGTCTCCCCAACTCTAATGCTTGCTCAGAAATTGACAGCAGGAGACATACGGAAGATTCTTGATGGTTGTCTCTTTAAAATTTCCTAACAATAAAACTCTGGTGCGGAGACCACCATAAAAAATGAAAGTACTTATCCTACTGCTTATAAAAAAAAGATTACTTTGAAGTCTATCTTATTTAACCATTCACTACTGTAGCAACGATTAGCTACTTACGAAATTATTATCCTACATCAGTTATTTCGTTTCGATGGATACTCCATAAGCATTGTTCAAACTGTTGCAGACACCAGAGCCAACAATAGGGATTTATTTACAGCTAAGTAACGGTGCTGCGAAATTTGAGCTTCCTGCTGCGCATAAATTAACTTTGGTTATCGTATCCTATGTGCCAAATACTCCTGCACTTACGGTGACCATAGAGATCGACGACCGTGAGACCTGCACTGAGAAACAAGAGCTAGCCATTCAGATGCATGATTTCCTCTCTCTTCTTTGTGATCACCCTAAAAGTTAGCTACCATCCTAATTCCGCCGTTATTAAATTAATCGTCATTGTCAAAACAAAACAGGCACGGTAGTTTTTTCTGGCCTAGTACTACAAAACAAACAATGCAAACCACCATGCCTTGTTTAATTTCCGTAGACATTGATGCACGAATTTGGAGTAAATCCTTCTGAAAAGACCTTTTCGGGCGCTGTCGGAAATGTGATATGAGTATTTGGGCTGAAATCCATCAGCTACCGCAAAATAATCGCGGTATATACAGAAACTGCCAAGAGGCAGTCTGTTTAACCAGTACGGTAAATAATTACAAAAATTTATGCTACCATACAGATCTAAACGCTTAATGAGAAGGTCCGCATGCACAGTTCACCGGTTCCTTACGTGCGTCCTATTAAGACGGTTGATGGGAGGGAACTTGAACCGCATCTTAGGACATCCCGTTCACACTAATATTTGGCATATGTTGTCAACAACTAAGCTAACCTGCTACCCCATTCGAATTTGTCTACTTGCTGTAAGATTGAATGAGACTACGACATCCACCTGTTTATTTAGTCAGACGGACATTTACGTGCGATATTGAGTGTCGTCAGCTTCCATCCCCAATAATGTGTTTTCTCGGAGAACTATTTCAAAAAATTTGTTCTGTTTTTTGATATGTGCGACAAGTATGGTATCTCTGTATTGCGCCCTAACGGATGTCTTGTCTAATGGCGTAGAAGAAGGACATTAGAAAACCATTTGTTTGCACAATAAGCCCAATTTTCAGTTTACGAAACATTTGGTTACGAAAGCACTGAAAAACAGACAGAGGGAGCAGCTACACGAGTTAACTCCCAACGAGAAAATAACCAGAGCTTGCCACACGGAAATCCTGTAAGTATCAATTTACACAAACTCTTCTTAATGACAATTGCAGTCTTTAATGTAACGGTCTGCTTTACTTAAACGACATATTTTAACATAGCCTTATTCGAATCTTCTGTATAATAGTAAAACAGATAAAGGAAACTATCATGAGGTCATGCTGGTAGAATGCACTACTTGCTCGATTTGTTAAATCAACAGCGAAGGTGCTAACTAAAAGCCCAGCTACGCGTTTCGCCGATATTCTGCCGTTGTATGACACAGCTACGCGATATTCGACTCATCAGGGGTCCTCAGCCTTTCCTGTGTGCTTCCAGATAGATATCGCAGTTTGAAATTTCAGCTTTTCGACTTACTCAGAAATTAATAGCAAATTCATAGTAGATCAGTCGGATTGAAAACTCAGTCTGAAAGTTGATATGAGTATTTTCGCCTAAATCCGCCAGCCCTGGACGGATAAATCACTGGGAGTTTATGGGCATTATGCGCTTATCAGGCTGGATATAATGGATTTTGAGACAAATATTCACATCGGCTTTCACTCTGAGCTTTCATTCCGACGGGTGTATATTAAACTAGCAACTAATTTCTGAGGGGGATAAAAAGCCACAATGCCAAGCTGGAGTATCTACCGGAAAACGCGCGGGAAGTACTGGGGATAGGCTGATAAGCCGAAGCCCCAGAGTCTGTGTCATACAGCGTCAGAACATTGAGGAAACACGTTGTTGGGCTTTAAGCTAGTATTTGTATTGTTAGGACGGTAAATCAAACAGCATAGGTATATTACTGAATAAGTGATGTGGTGTGCATTCTAAGGTGATATAATAAAAAAGAGAACGCTCTTTAAAAAATCGATTTGTACCCGTAAATTTTCAAGTCGGTGAGACCGACCCGTCGTCAGACGAAATAAAGAGAGGGTAAAGTGAAATAGGCAGACTAGGTCGGCTGACGCGACAGGACAGACAAAGACAAACAGACAGCTGATGCGTGAGAGGGGTGGGCACCGAGTTATGGTAGGCTGAGGGGCAGGGGAGGAAAGGAAGAACCGTAAAGGCTCCCTATGCTGGCCGTGGAAAAAACGCGGGAGGACTGCGGATCAGTGGGAATGAGGGCGGCTGGTCACTGATGAGGGATGAGGTCAGTGGGCAATGCACCTGCGTTGGAGGTTTTAGGGGTTTCGGTTGTTATTCACCGTGTAGCAAGAGGGTGGGGAGCGCAATGGCGAAACAGCATACGTTTATGTGGCCGAGTGGAGGTTAACAGTTGGTAGGGTGCGATAACAAGACAATAAGCGTGTACGTAAGCCCTCGTACTGAGCGTCTAGATCGACGTGGCGTTTGGTGCTGGTCGTGCCAGAATGCCAAGCTTCGAGGGATTTTCACGCCTGTCTGGTATTAGCCTTTGCAATCATTACAGTACCGTCCCAGTTGAAGCGGTGGTCATGCTCAAGGGCGGGAGCAAACACGAGAGACAGAGGGTCACGTTGGCGGAGCGCTAGCATGTGTTCGTTAATGCGAGTCCCAAGACATCGGCCTGTATGGCCAATATAAACACAAGGGCAGTTGACGCACGGTATGCGGTAGATGACGTTAGTTAGTTGTTTTTTGGGCACCAGATCCTTTACTCGGCATAATACCTCCCATAGGGAAGAAGCAAGCTTATGGGTGATGGAGTTGCAAAGCGCTTTTATTGTCGGGAGTGTTTCAGAAATTTCCTGAATGTACGGCAGTGAATAGAATTTCTGTGACACTATATCTCCATTAGACTCGGGGCTCGGTGGTTGGCTCTGGCGTCTGAGAAAGTTTTTTTTACAAAACTGGTAGGATATCCGTTTGACCGGAATAACCGATGGAAGTAGGCCAATTCCTTCTTCAGTAAGTCATGACTCTTTCAGATGCGATAGGCCCGATTGAAAAGAGTGCGGACACAGCTTCGTTTATGGACCGCAGGATAATTGTTCCCATAGTTGAGTATGATTTCGGCACTAGAGTGTTACTGTGGACGCTTGTTCGTAGTCTGCCGTCATTCAGTCTATGTTTACTCACATCTAAGAACGGACGGGTATCTCCTGTTAATTCTTCGCGAATAAACTGTACAGCTGGAGAGACGCTATTTAAGTACTGACGTAATCGCTCAACTTCGCTGGTTTTATGATGAAAAATGTGTCGTTCACGAGGCGGAGCTACATTTTGGATTCGATATTTTGTACAACATCCTGTTCTAGTCGTTGTAAGACTAGTTCTGCAAGCAGACCCGGTATTGGCGAGTCAAGTGGGATGCCTTTTACATGTTGACAGTACTTATCATCGGACTGACAATATATCTTGAGGCAAAGCTTAAGTATGTGTAAAACATGCCGTGTTGGAATGCGAATGGGAGTCTGCTCTAGACATCGGGCTACGCTATGGAGTGCTAGGTCATGCGATATTAAAGAAAATAGGGCAATTTCGAACGATAGGATGCATTCGTCAGGACTTACTTCAAGCCCTGGGATCTTTTTAAGAAAGCCTGAGAATTTTTGATGCTGTATTGCGATCCATGTTTGAGGTGATTTAACTGTCTGTATAACCACGCTCACTGTCTTGTTCTCACACCCTAACAACTGCTAACCCACACTCGGCCACATAAACGTATGCTGTTTCGCCATTGCGCTCCCCACCCTCTTGCTACACGGTGAACAACAACCGAAACCCCTAAAACCTCCAACGCAGGTGCATTGCCCACTGACCTCATCCCTCATCAGTGACCAGCCGCCCTCATTCCCACTGATCCGCAGTCCTCCCGCGTTTTTTCCACGGCCAGCATAGGGAGCCTTTACGGTTCTTCCTTTCCTCCCCTGCCCCTCAGCCTACCATAACTCGGTGCCCACCCCTCTCACGCATTAGCTGTCTGTTTGTCTTTGTCTGTCTGACCTGCTAAAAGTTTGCAATTAACTTCTGAGGAGGGTGTAGAGCTGTAAAGACACTGGGTTCGTCTTCGCCCCATTTACTGGGCTCAGGTGTATTTCGGTCGAAAGGTCAGCTGGCGAAGTCAAAATTTGTAATCGTTGTCATTAAAGGTTACTGAAAAATTGAATGATGCCGATGGCTTTAACAATAGATTTCTAGGTTACGAAACTTATATCTGCTGTCATGAAAGAAATAATACTCACTTTTTGAAAGTGTCCTTGTTGACGGAGTACACTTTCTTAGGAAGAGCAAAACAGTTAGGAGAATTATGCAGAGCACACAAGCCATGCAAACCAGCACAGCGATAATGGTGATATTACGATACTCTCCCTTTCCATTGCTGATTGGTGGAAGGCGCTTCCGTGCACCGGGTGAGGGGTCGTGAGTTCTTGGTTTGGCCTCCGATAATCGATTGGCAGCACTCTCCGTGTCATACTGATTGACTAGTCCAACTTTATACTGCGGCCCCGGTGACATCCCATTTGTATGCTCCTTTCCAGTCCCTTTATCCACGCTCATGATTTCTGCCTTTGGACTTTGTACTAGTATCCTTAGAGGAAAACGTTTTGTGAGCCGGTGAACGGGATCCGTTGGATTGTCGTGGGCCAGTATGTTTAGGGAGTAGCGTCCTGGTGGTGGTTGTTTGACTGACTTGACGCAAATACGATTGGCCTCTTCGTTAAGAGTAAAATGTGAGTTTTCATCAAGACTGACTGTTACGTTGCCATTGGCAGTAGAGTCGTCATCATCAAAAAACGCAAAGGGAAAGTTTACGCAGGCTCCTTTGGAGTTTAGTTCGTCAGGCGTGACGGCGAATTCTGCGAGAAGAACCTTCTTCTCGAATCTCCATTGGACGGGATCTGGATTAGATTTAGTGGAGACCATGTATGGTGCGTTGTCATTCTTATCCAGCACCTTCACCGTAACTATGGCTGTTGAGGAAAAAGCTTTTGAAGACTGCTTTGTGCTTCGACCAAAAATGTTCTGCCCTCCACCACTTGTAGCGGCAACCTTTATCTGCAGCTCCGCCACTTGTTCACGGTCCAGGGGCCTGGTAGTTCGAATAACTCCAGAGTGCCTTTAACACAAAATGTGGCAGGAACAACGGTGTAACAATTTTTCAAGAGTGCAAAATTTTATGGGTAAAACAACTTATGCCTCCTAAATTAAACAAAATGTAATGTGTTTCAAAGCAAAAGAAACGTAACGCCACCGCCATTTCTGTTCTTCGCCATCGTTCTTGCAAAATTTTTGCGCGAATGTGACCGTATCGATTCGACTGCGGGCATCTTTTTGTTGTTTTTCATATAGCATAATTACTAAGAACCGGGAGGCATACATCAATCATTACAGATAAAGAGTGGATGCGACCGCCAAGTACTATTGACGACAACGAGGAAGATAGCAATGGCTATTCCTAGCTTATTGTCTTCATCAACTAACGCGCTCCTCCTGGTGTCCTAATCTGTGTCAGTAAACCAAGGGCAACACCACTTCGTTTACATGCGCATATTCTGTCTGTTGTGACTGAGAATATCCCAGTTCACATCTTGGAAAGGGTGCGGTTAATGGGTTACCTACACTGAGGGAACAGTTGTGTCACAAGGGGATAACTGCCAATATTGATTTGTACGCGCCAAAGAAAGAAATAAAATGACACCCCGATGGGTGCTGCCTGTGGGTGTCAGGATGCTTTAAGGCCGTCATAAAAGTGAAAATCGGACAATGCAATACCTTTTTGACAATCTTTGCAAGCGACCAAGAAATTCCTTTATTATTATCGTCAGATGGTGAAAACAGAGTCCCCTTTTCACTCGTGGCAATATGGAGGATCAAAATCTATGATACTACAAAGTTCTGAGGTTTCCAGCCCTTTTACTCAACACAAATGCCCCCTGGAGTAAGTGACCCCGACCATGAACTTAACCTTTGACCACATGTGCGTGGTATTCCCAGCCATTCCGTCATAGGGCGGAGGGAAAATATTCACTCTTTGACTGCGAATTCTAAGTCTAGACATCCCTTAGATAGTCGATAGTGAGCGCCAACGTCTGGCGAATTTGTTGACATCCTTCCCCCATACCCGGGCTGCGGCCGGACGCCTGAAGAGACCTAAAACCGCACCGCCAAAGCGAAACGGAAATGACCCCTACCATGCTGTAATCATCGCTGATTCGTTAACGATATTTATAAAACTCAAAATGAATAAGTGCTCCACATGTACTAAATTTTGGTCTTTGCAATATAAATGTGTTCAGACTTCGAATTAAAGGGCATTAAGAGGTATGGATGCGTTCTTATTGTATTGCCTTCCTGTGACAAATACTACAAATGACAATAGTTTCTTATGTGGTAGCAAACGACATTCCAGCCTGCTCAGAATCCTCGAGTGTGATTTTGATACCCGAGGGGAGTTCTTCTAGGAGGGAAGGCGATGGATTAAAGTTTCACGACACAAGTTCATGGGGATGCGATAACGGGATAATTATCTAACGGGGTGTGCGAAAAATGTCGTGTTGCAAATCTAACTTACCACCGCAAGGATAAAATGGTGAATAGAGCACTGCCAGCCGACAAATGCAGTTGGCCACACACAAGTGATTTATTATTTGGCTCGAAAATTCAAGGGAATACGTCACATTTGGAAGTAATTGCTATATGTTTGGTAGATTAGATCGATCTCAATTCATAAGCTTCTTCCCGCTGGTAGCTCCTATTGGTATCTGCGTCAGTCATTATACGACTCGCGACTTTAAGATAAATGTAAATTGAGGCATAAGTATACTCCTTATTTTCAATCCTTTAGCAATCGTTATGTTATCAGCAGAATCGAACCCCCAAAAACATAAAACATGGACCTCCGCACTATTTAAGGGACCCACAAATCTCCTTGCAACCAGATGAATCGTGGTTATGGATGAAGGACCATCCAAACAGCGACTGATTTACCGCACTCCTAACTCGGTTGGCTAAAAGTCCATACACGTTCTTGCCGATAATGCGACACGTTTATGAGGCCTTCGCCTCACAAGTAGGTCATTCAGCTTCTTCCATTTGCTTTCTGCTGTACCTTTCTTCACTGTGGTGATTTCCGATCTCCTTGGAAATTAGTGTATTAACTTGGAGTAGATTGTGGGACAGAAGTATTCTCGGACTCAGTCAAAAAATTCCCATTAATATATGACAGTTCGACCGTCGTTGCGTGTTTCACAGGGAAATCAAGCAGAAACGGTGACTTGCGCATGATTTATTTTATAGTGAATATAGACTTGCGACGCATCTACTTCACTCCCTTCTCCACCTGAGCTCGGTGTCAAGACAGAGTCAAGAAGACCAGAGGTGGGAGAGTGCGTTGGTAGATGGTGCGGTTGGAGCTAACCCTAAGCGTGTGCCATCAAGTCAGGCTCGCATGCCGCGGATTGGGAGTGTCATAAAGGCTATATTGAGAAGGAGGCATTGCAGCTTGACTCTCGGACCACCAGTCGGCCACTAAATACAGACACACACTGTAGCCTCTCGGGCTGCGGCTTTTAGCGCATAAGTAAAACCGAATCGAGACATTCCGAAGTAGATGGACTGTAACCCGCCTAGTTTGGTTTTTAGGCTCCAAATGGTAAAAATGCTTGGCAATAAACAAACATCTGTCATGGGCCGTGCTCCTAGAGCAGACGCACTACTTACCTGTCCACAGTGAAGAACCGGGCAGCGTTATCCGCAGACGAAGGATGAATGTCATAGAATATCACGCGGTTCTCCGGCAAGTTGTCAGCGTCTGTTGCCTCTACCCGACCAATTACCGTCTGACTTGGCATACCTTCCATTACTTCAAATTTGTATTCAGTCTTAACCATTACTGGCGCATTGTCGTCCAGATCGCGAACCTAGGAAATTCACACAGAAATATACAATCACCCTCTTCCAATAAATACATGTTGTCTGGATCACGTATTTGTAGATTGATTTTCAGGCATTTGTCACTTTGAGTAAAATAATGTAAGCCATGAAGGCAGGAAAAGCCACAAGAACAATCAGATCTGACGAGAGAAATAAGTGACATTTGAAAGGAGACAGTTATAATGGCTGAGGCGAGTGTCACAGTGGTTTTGTTTTCAGTTTGTTTTCACTAAGAGTTGACCAAACATATTTATGCACTACTGGGATTCTTAGCCTACGAGCTGAGGCCTACATCATTTCAGCCCATGATCAGGGCAAAATGCGACTCTCAGACAGCATGCCATAAACGAATGAGGCATTCAGCAGGAACGATTAATTTTTGGCTTTATCCGTGTTCAGAGACTTGAAATCCCTGTGCATACTCATCATTAGATGAAGCACTTTGCCTGGTGCATAGGACATCAATGCCGGCTGTAAAGTAAATCGGACCCCCGTGTCACCGACACCCCTGTCGTTCCCCACCCTCGTTGACCGCGACGATACTTGGTGACCCTGATTGGTTCCCGTCTTTCCTGTCCCTTGTGTTGGAGTTTCGAATAACCAGATAGGGAAACTGCGCCACATAAGACTAGTGGACATGGATCTCACACCTATTAACGTAGGTATCAGGAACGTCTACCCAAAGTGTCAGACATAATGTAGCCCTTTTCTTATGAACGTCTCTTCCTGATTTGACAAGTTCCAGTCTCTATGATATTCTAGTATGATTCTCCTTACAATAATGCTATTTCATACAATACAAGCACTCAATTGCTTTCCAAAGGGCAATCAGAGTCAGATGTCAAATTTGATTAACTAGAATTATACTTAGCCGTCTAAGTCGACGAACTTTAAAAATATCTTGCCAAATCCACTTACTTGAGTCTTAGGCGACAGGTGGACTTGTTCGAATCTTGACACGCATGTATGTCTGTTTTGCAAATTGATAAGTGCGGTCCTTTTATTACTGAGGAACCAAATGTCCGCCAAATGAACGATCACCTCCTCCAAATATCAGAACTCATCAGGAATATATAAGGGAGCCAGCGACTATGAGCTACACTACTAGTCTGGAGTGATGAGACTTAAGAAAAGTTACTCAGGGATACTGCGATTTTAACAAAGGTGTGGAATGATGAGAAGACATGGGCACGGAAGCACAAAACGCACGTACATTCAGTGACATACTGCATTTCCAGGATCGAAACCGTGAACGCTATATTTTTGATCGTCGATAGCCAGCCATAGACCATTTAAACTGCAGAAAATGCTAACCAAAGAAAATTAAATCAAAATGCAGCACGTTCCAGATTGTATCGAATAACATTCAGCGTTTGCCCGTTTTCATTTAATTTTCTCGCTTCATTTGAACGATTCATATGCCTACATTCTTAAAAAAATAAATAAACATACTATAGAGGCATTTGTCATCATTGCTGTTGTACTGAAATTCCAGCATGGGATTAATAAGTCCTTTTTTGCGCAACTATCAATAGCATATTATTTAGTTGTGCCTCAGTGACTGGTTCACATTAAATAATTTGGGGACCCACCATCGCTGCACTTGCCTTAGAAGTTTATATTTGTCCTATGAGGTGATATACTTTGCTCATCTAACATCAGAGAAGTGCATTAATAATTCCATTTCTAACTGATTTGAAGACTGTCGTGATGCTTTAAGACATCGTCACGTTATCTCGTCAGCGTTAGCAAGGTTTGAAAACGTAGTTGCCGATGACATTTCTATGGGGAAAAACAGTGAAAAATTCAGCTAGAAAGCTATTCATTAAATTCGTTACTTTGGGCGTTTTTCTGAGCCATACGGCTCTAAAATGGAAAAAACAGCAATGCAATCGTGCCTGTTTTCGTCAAAAGAACCATTTCAGCACACGCGGAAGGAACCACGGGAATAAAGATGAAAAGGCTCGCCTAGCAGAAGTAGAAGACAAATGAATGCACCTGAGCGGAAGAACCAACGACAAGAACACATTAAATGGGACTTTTAGTAAAACAATCCAGGTTTCCGTATTCACTGTATTATCGAATGTCGCAGAAGAAAAATCAACCTGCTTTTGTTTCTAAATGACTCTTTCGGTCAATATTTTTCAACTACGCACTGAAATTTCTCAAACACTAGAACTCACATCAGGCATAATTACTTTGGGCAAACTTCAATCACACCTTCCTGGGCTGTCCATTACCTAATATTTGCATCCGGCCACGGTATAAGTAGAAGTTATATAAAGAATTTGTAAGTGGCTTACTTCTATTTATTGGATTTCCCCAACGAATTAACTGACCTACAAGCACCATTAGAAATAAAATGAACTGGTGATGCCTATGCGCAAGCAGTTATTTTGGGCGAATTTTTGGGTAGGCACATTATAAGGACCACGCAAGTGCTATTGGTGACCTTGGGCTTACTTCTAGGTCTTGATTTTAGTGACCTTATTTAACTCAAAAGCCCTCATAACCTCCTAATTATAATCCAGGCCTTGTCGCTAATTCGTATACTCATTTTCCGTTAACCCCGGGCTCTCTCGAAGCCAATGCAAAGCCACTTGTAATATGGGGTCCGTTTTCTCGTGCCCTGCTGCATTTTTTGGAATATGGCGATGTTGTTTTAATAATGACAATCCGAAACCTGCAAAAATAGCCTTCCACTTCAAATAGACTTTCCATGAGGCATTGTGTTGGGCGCAAGTTACGTTTAGACATTGGTGACAGAAAAACCGCTTTAATTGCTTGCAGTTTGAAATATATATATTTTGTCAAATGGGTTATAACAGCTAAGTTTTTATAAACTTACACAAACCGTAACCTTTGCCGTGGAGGACAGTGCTTGTGTCGGATCCAAGGGTTGGTCAGTAGCGATGACAAGGAAAGAGTAAACAGACCTCTTTTCATAGTCCAAAGCGACACGTGTTTTTAGTTGTCCGGTTAGACGATCAATGTAAAAGAAATCAGCATCCCTCGTAGGTTTCTCAGATAGCTCAGAGCTTGAATCTTTATTGCTGTCGTTTTCAAGCGTGTTAGCAAGTGAGTAAATTATCATCGCATTCTGACCGGCATCTGAATCCGTTGCATGAATATGAAGCGGAGCACCAGGTCGGATGGATTTGGTGTCAGCGCCGAACTTCGAAAAGGATTCGCGGAAGTCAACTATGGTGTTCACTTCATTCTCGGGCACACTTCCGAAGTACTGATTTCTTTGGAAGACGGGCCCATTGTCATTGACGTCTCTCAGAATTATCCGAATTTGACTTTGACCAATTAGGCGATCTGAGGTACGGCCATCGGCGCAACGGACCCGAACAAGATAACTGGGCGATTCCTCTCTGTCGAGCGAAACTGTGCTCAGGAGTTCAAATATCTTTCTGCGTTGGGCGGTGTTCTCAGTGCTGACTTCGCGTAGGTCGAAGTGACGCTGGGGAGAATCGATGTCACAGAAGACCTCGTCAAGACTAGAATCCATGTCATAGACGTGGACGTGGCAGATGACATTCGGGGCATGGTCAGCAACGTCTTCATTGCGCTCGAGACTGGCGTATTCAGAATTCAACATGTTTCCTCTGTCGAAAAAACGTATAACTGGTGGTTGATCATTAACGTTTTCGATTTCTACAGAGACGGTCGCCGTTGACGCTAAGCGGGGGGTGCCATGGTCTTGTGCAACTACGAGGAAATCAAAGGCGTCAATCTGTTCATAGTCTAAGGGTTGTATCAACCGAAGAACGACCCCATCAGGAACTGGAGATGCGAGTATATGAATTCGTAAAAAATCTGAACCAAGCAGCTGATTGGTCTTTAAGTTGTTACTGGGTCTGAGGTAGTAAGTTATGCGCGCGTTTTCTCCCGCGTCGGTGTCATTGACCCGAAGCCTGGCAAAACTCTTTCCGATCTGATTTTCCTTTATCAGAACGTGTATTGTTTCTGTGTTGAAAGTGGGCGCATTGTCGTTTTCATCCTGGACCTAAAAAAGATAACAAGCAAGTGCTCACGGCTGATTTTTCCCGCTGGACATTTGAAAGTCACTGCTTTCCGATCACCGCAATTATTGTAAAAAAATTGGGAAATTCTCTTTAACGCTCTGGGAACAAGAATTTAATTTTGAAACATGTCCGGATATTAATGCTGCTTGATCGCATATGACCAAATATCTGAGTAGATATTTGTTATTATGGTGTAAATCGTTTTGCACGTCCAGAAAGAACTAAAACGAAGTTATTGTCGAAAGTCTATGGAGAACAGATATTCAAATTTGACATATTTCAGATATGGGCATATTCCAAAAGTCTATGATCAATCACAGCTTTCTTAGGCAACTGAGAGGCATGCGAATTCGGTAAATCGATCTATTAGTTGTTCTTTTGGGAAAATCAAGGTAAATGCTTGACTGAACTGGTTTCAAACAATACCTCATTTAATCGGTTTGCAAGAGATTAATTATCCCATTAAGAACTTGTCAACAGGTAAAAGACCCGGAGTAATTAGTAGTGTTATTGAAATTTTACAAGGAACAGCTCTAGCAATGTTTATATTAAAAAGCGAAAACGTCCGTAGTCTTTTACAATGTTAAATATCGTTTCCTTCTTTAATTTAAAAGCCATTGTAGGTATGTTGGGCCGAAACAGGAATTCATAACTTATTGGCGGTAAGTATTAGAATATACGCGTTCTCCAATAAACTTTCCATGAGTAACAGTGTTTTATTGAAGGGGATTGTCTGTTCCAAAGCGTTTTGTCTTCTACTGTCTGCCACTACGGGTGCCATTCAAGTGAATTTGCCTACTGCACGTTTGTGGAATTGTAAATCCTTTGTAAAGTGATTACGAACACACATTACATAAACGGCTATCTTTCTGTGCATAATCAACCAGCCGGAGCATAAACGGTTGAAATATATGGTTGCGCATTTACAAAAACTGATTCGCAAATCGGACCTAACTTAATTTTGCAATAATTTCGAAAATATTTCAGGTCAATCAATTACAAGTCGGAAAATTGGACTGCAAATTGTGTAATGAAGTAGCCGAATCTTCTTTGTAGCACAACATAGTGCCTTGGAAGACAATTTGATATATTTTACAACCTATATCATTGCGTTATAAGCTCGAAGGCGTCCTATAGCATGATATATAAATTTACGCTCGTCCTTTAATATTTTGAGGTAGTTTTATCCTGCTTTTCGTCTCGAAGCGCAGGGAAAATTATGTCTTCATGAGCCTGTACGCAAATAGTACCCGATAGTTCATAAGCAGACATTCAGAGGCTTCTTAGTTTTCGTGTTTTGGAGAAAACTGCCGTACCAAGCAGTTTATTTAAGATAGGCCGCACTTCACGACGTTAAAAGTCGACTTTTCATTTAGGAAGATGAAGTGATTTTCAGGTAGTCGTTTAGAGTGAACATTTGAAACGCAACTCCACTCCGGTGAAGATTTTTTAAACTATGCTGACATGATGCGATGGCAAACTACGCTATGCCTGAAAGTTTTAGTTAATCTTCGGCAGCTCCCGGAACATTTGCTCTGAATTGAATTAGTGCGGCATGCTAATACCGCATGAAAATCCTAGTTCCTTTCAATGAGCACATATGACAAATGGCCCTTGACCGTTTTGGAAAGCGAGCTGCTATGTGCACTCACCGAATGAAGTTACGTTTGCCCAGGTATTTTGACACTTTAAACTGAGTGTACAGCTAAAATTGTAGATCAGTGTGTATCGTGCAGTACCGATGATATATGATCCTATTGTAGAAATCTAAGCAAACGTTCGCAATTGGTTTCGTGTGTCGATAATTAAATAGAAGACTATATGCATTCTATGGCCTCCAGTATGATTGAATTCAATTTAGAATTCTTTAAAGGCTGTCAACATTATGAGTGGATTTGAAACCTAAATTTAAAATAAAAAACCTGGAAAAAGTTGCAGAGACTATAGTTTGAAAAAGAGGTCTATTCGTTTGATGTTTCAGATTCATGCCGAACCGATCATCAGAGACAGCATCAAATAGGTTACTTTAGTGCTGCAGTGTTTATAAGACGTTGTCGCTATGCTACCACAAACCTACCGAAAGAAACAAAGATGATTGTCCTCGATGCGATAGTGGCCTGCTGCCCGGCGTTTGAGTCATTATCGGCTGGAATTCTCATCACGCCTTTTGAGAGGTGGCGTGATTACTACTTGATCCTCTTGTTAACCGCACCGGCTTGGGCTAAGTGTTCGTCCGCGTTCTCGTTAGGACTTCATACAGAACCCCAAATAATGTTCTCTAAAGCGGATACGGTTTTGGTACAATTGGCGCTGATCCGGTTAACTTTATTTCCTCTTTCAAATCGGTGTTACGGTAAACCGGCTTCTCAGACTATACAAAGGACCTCCTTCGAACCAGGTCTCCCACCTGGTCACGTCGTACCGAAGAAACCACTCGCTGTTAGGAGGGGGAAAATGACTTTAAGGTATTTAAAGACCGACATCGAAAAAGTTACTCCGCCTGCTGACAAGGGCCGGCCAACCGTTGCTCTCGATATAGTAGACTTCCGAAAGAAAACCCTCATCCTCGTCAACGGTCTGGTGGTATATATTGTCAGCGAGTCACTACGGGCGATTGTGAACGGAACTCGGGCTCGACTAAGGAAGAATAAGGTCACCGTTATCAAATACTGGCGTACAGCAGAGTCTCCAGAAGCAGACAGAGCGCGATTCTACGATCTCACAAGAGTACACAAGCCAGATGTCCCCCTGCGAACAAGTCTCACTCAGAGGCGCACCCATATAGGGGCCTGTAAACTGGCTATTGCAACATCTGAGATTTGAAAGCGTAGACTCGCAAGCGACAGTGATCTCAACAGAAAAGTTTCTGGCAAAATAAGGGTGGTCAAAATCGAACGGAATAAGAGGATGGAGTCTTTTTATGCCATCTCATTCTTCCTGTCCATGCAACATACCCTTACGGTCGAAGTACTCAGTGACCCGCTCCGTCAAAATAATGATGAGGACGATGCTCGGCCCATAGATCGGATCTCATAGAACTCAGGAAGTTCCTAACATTTAAGGGATCAAATTTGAACAAATTAAGGGCTCTCCTATTAGTTCGCTAATATATGAGATCATTGCTGATGCGGTTTTGTATAGACTCGAGAGGCAACTGTTCAGACGATACAAACTCATTTTTAGGACACCGCCATCAACGACTGGATAAAATTAGCTAGTACAAGGAAAAAACGAACACGATCATTCCGGTCAGCAATTTACGTCGTAACAAGACACACAAGCTGCTTATGCTCAGTTACAACAGCAGCCACCAACTGGAACACAAATGAAACTTGGTAAAGGGGCGCTCACCAATCGTTTTTACGAGCTCACTCTTCCCGCTATGTATTACGGGCGCTCTCTCGAGCCAAAACACCAGTCGCACAGCGGCGCACGACATGGGCGGAATGGTATCACCGGCAAGGTCTCCATAGTCATTGTCGGTAATATCATTCTGCCTGCAAATGAAACTGCCCACTCACGCTGTACTGACGGATGAGTAATCACTGCAGCACGCTAGCTTCCGAAACGGAAGAGTTGAAGCACCTCGAAGAACCCTTCAAAGCCGACAGATAGCAGCGAGCATTCATTGAACGGAGCCGAATTCACCAAGGGAAGTGGAATAGGCAATGCAATCAGCTGAAATCATGGTGGATCATTCCGTGCATTAAGGGGGTCTAAGGAACCGAGACTGGACCCTCGTGCTCCTAGGATTGGGACTTGCTCAGAGGCCTGGTTGAACAATCCTCCAGCAAGTGACGAGACCGGAAGACCCTATTTCTGACCTGGTGAGGCTGGCCATTGTCTACCGGCTTTAGTGCAGCTGCGGGATATACAACTACGTTGCGGAACCCGGTCGACATCTGCGAACATGATTGCATGAACGTAAGTTGGCAATGCGAAGGTTGGATCCAAAGCGGAAGTAGCAACCTATACGACGTCGATGGGATGCATCTCTAACGCTGATGACCTTGCGATCGTAGGCCGAAGTGACGATCACACAACAGGGTAGGTTCAAGAAGCCGGAATATCCACCGATTGCTTCCTACATTAATTTGCGTCCGCCTGTCTGATTATACGAATCTTCATGACCGGAATGTCACGGCGCGTAGTAACGGGGTGTCCCATTAGCCCTCCGGTCATCGAAGGCGGGAAGCAACGCAGATCGCAGTTAAACGCAGGTCAGATGAAGCCACATAAAGCTCATCCAGCAAAGTACGCCATACAATGAGCTGTGCGCATGACATTCGAGTCTCTGAAGATGAGCATGCAAATCATTATGTGGAACGTCAGACCTCCAATACAACTCTCCCGGCGAATTCCTCTTACTATTTTGACTTATTAATGGGTTGGGTATCGGTGGACCGTGACTCAAGCAGCTCAGGTTTCACGAAATTGTCATCTCTCGCGAGAAGTTCGACCTCGTCGGACCTGAATGTGTGCCCGGGTCCCATCGAATGAACTGTGACCTGGGAACTGCCGTGGTTTATTTACATTGCTGCCGCTGATTCGGCCATTCGAGTCTGGGACGGTTCGATAGCTCCTCCAGTGCAGTTACTTTGCACACCGATGCAGCAGGTCCGATAGATGACTCCAGGCATTGCTGCCAGGACAGCGGTTTTTCGATCTCATTACCTGGCGCCTTATAGTTGTCTCCAGTTTGTGCGCAATCCCAACTTCAGTTGGGGAGAGAGGACAGTTGACGGTCCTTGAGACGCACTTGACTTACAAAAGTGCTCCCAAGCATAACGTTATCGCTCAACTTACGATGATAAGATAGCAAGACGGATTCAAGGCTGCCACATTCCCATACACGAATACCGCAATGGAAATTTTGCAATTGGCCGTATATTAGCCAATATTTGAAGTACACGACCCTCAGATACTGTAAGCGATATCACCGGTTGCAGCCACTCCGAACAATACCAACAACATAAACCAGCAGACTGACCTATGCCAAGCAGCTGAATCCCGCAAAAGAGAAGAAGGGGGAAACAAAGGTCAAGTGGCCACTAACGAATGCCTGCAGACAAAATACCCGAAAAATTGAACCCAAGTCCACTAGCAGATATAGTCCATCGGTTAGTTCGATAACGGGGGGATACAGCAGCAGATACTGTAATCTTTACGTACCTTTAAAGGTCGAAAAGAAAATACACAATAAGTGACCGATCCCCTGAATTGTTGGCTGAAATTGTGAAATGCGTTTTTCGATTAGGGAGGATTACTTAAGCGCGGTTGCAATACTGATTATCTGGTGGCACAGTCCAATAATATCTCGGCCTCGGCAGGATGTTAACTTTTGAATAAACTGCTTTTCAAATTCCTGTAGAAATAGCACTCGGTAACGGATGACTACTTGAGCAGCATGCATTTTCCCATTGATTTTCGATGGACTTGCAAGTTCAAATATATTTTATAGAAATCCCACACAAATATATGCTTTCTCTCAATCATTTGATGGAGAATCACGTCGTCTTTCTATTCATGCTTGAAGAAGATATATAATTAGGTTTGGAAGAAGTCTTCTAATTGCCGAGTAATTTTGAGCCTGATCAGTCGTTGTATTAGCGCTTAGTGATTTCAGTCTACAAGGCGCAAATGCTCTGCCTAAAGGAAATCGCATATTCTTCTATGCCTTTAAGAAGATATCATATAGAGTCCACAAAAATTTGCAATGGATGCCGGGTATGTTGCACAGTTCATTCAGAGCAGTAGTAAATGGACAGGTACGATGCTATACGAATGGACATTGCGCGGTCTTAAAAATCTCGTAAGCAGAAGCCTTTTCAGAACTTAATTATGCTCCTTCTTCGAGTGTAAAATAGAAATATGACGTGATTCTTCATTAGCCGGTCGCGGAAAACATATATTTGTTTGGGGTTTCTAAAAAATATATTTGAACTTGCAAGTCCATCGAAAATCAGTTGGAAAATGCATGCTGCTCAAGTAGTCATCCGTTACCGAGTGCTGTTTCTACAGGAATTTGAAACCCAACGTATTCAAAAGTTAACATCCTCCCGAGGCCGCAATATTATCAAATTATGCCACAAGATATTTTGTGTTGCAACCGCGCCTAAGTAATCCTCCCTAATCGAAAACACATTTAGAAATTCCGGCCGACATTTCATGAAATCGGTCACTCTGTAGGTCAAGCCGATTCGCAATTTGTACGCCATTGAGTGACCAGGGCATACTAATTAAAATTTCCTGATAATGCTGACTCCCTACCGTATATGCGCAAGTGGCTAACTGTCTAGGTGTAACTTGTTATCATGCCTTTTCAACGTCTGCTCCAAAAAAACTTTCGCAATGTGCTGTCAATCTCTCGAATTTTCATAGGTTTTTCTGAGTGTGGGCTCTAAATCGAACTATTGAGTAGTATATGACCTACCAGACTCTACGGGTTTGGGGAACTCGGTTTTTCATTAAGCAACAGTTGAAAAGAGTAAATGTGTTGTTTCAAGCTAAACTTTACCCGGTATCCGGACTATGTCTGTCCACATGAGATAGGTGAGTCCCCCCTTCATTGATAACTGGTGTTTAAGAATAAATGTAAAGGCAACCTTACCTGTCTGACCACAGTAGACAACTCTGCTATTAACAAGCACAATTTTGTCGGACCTTTGGTTATTCATATGGTTGACGCTGTGATCAGGGCGGCGAGTATGACCTATTCCCTTATCTTTGAAACATCTGATGCTAACTCTTTTTAAGGTGCTTTTTAGCGAGTTAAGACAAAAGCATACATAAGAAGGAATTCGCAAGGCACTTGACCTTCGTGTCTGGTCGGAACTACGTGGTTTCTGTTTTTTGTCTCCTGATTTCTCGCACATCGACGTAAAAATTATTTAAAACACTCATCTTGAGATTATAATTTGAAAAGTTGTTCAAGTTTGATTTGAAAGCATTTATTGTCAGAACAGTGCGTTTTTATCTGGTTAAGTAAGCCGTTGGCAGCACATTTTTGAAATATAGGTTGTCGCTATAACTCAGAACGACTTCCGCACAGGTTTTTTAAGTTGTACTATATTTTGTAATGTTCTGCCAGTTTGTCTTCGCATGGGACATCTAAGATAGTCTAAGGTTTTTATGATGCCTCGTTTACCCAGGCAGCCGGGTATTGGTATCCCTAACTGCCTGCGGACACGCATCCGACTTCCAATCAGGAGACCTGAGGTCCCCCGCCACGAGAGGAAATGGCAACACTAACCTACCGCGCTCGTTGTAAGCTCTGCGAAATTAAAGATTGAAGAGATCTGCAGACCGCCGTGAGAGAACACATGGGAGCCAGGAGGGAAATGAACCTCCTGTCTCCGGTGTTGAGGAGATATGCAGACTATGCAATCTTCGCTTTCCCAAACGCTTACATAGCTAGAGAAATTTTGAGGCGTAACATACGGGAACAGCATTCACTAATAATTCTACAACCCCCCTTGCGTAAAACGAAGTTAATCAGACGCAGATAAATTAGCGAAAAAGCTGAAACAACCCTCTTGGCCCTTGAAGCGATCGTGGGAAACCCAAACTGGACATACACGTGTACGCAGAGCCACCCGGATCGGACGAAGGCGCAATTGTTGGCAATGCTGAAGGAAATATCACCCAGGCGACAAGGGTAAGGGCATTCAAGTTTTTAAGACGAGATTAGTGACAAGGAAGCAACATCTAGGACCATTGTGGACAAAGACGATGAATCTCAACATGACATTTGAGCATTCATAACCCTCCTGCACCCTTTCCAATTAACTGCGATCACAGACTATCTTCAGCTGCTACCGTCACGTTAGAGTATCGACTGAACATAAGAATACTGAGAGGTTCGAGAAAACACGCATCTGGATTACGAAAACTGGTCTACTTCTGAAACATCAGAACAATATAAATACAATCCCTGAGTTCGCGCTTTCCGCTCACACGCCCACACATAGTTTGACCGTTGCAAGCAACGACATCCACCGCGTACCCCATAGAGTAGACGCAGTAGTGAGTTGCACTGCCTCTACCATACACTCTCCTAACACCTTACAGCGAAGGCAAGACAAAGTCAATACTGTCGGCAATGTAATAAAGTTAAACAATCAGTCTACGCGTGCTTCATACCCAAGATGTGCCGGACTGCAATAATGGCGGCTAGGATTTCGCATAACTGTGAGTCCCACACACATACATGTGCAGGGCAATACATTTGTCTCCATCTGAAGGAAATGCGTGAACATTTCTTGGCGTCATTGCAAGTTACACGAAAAAGTTATAAGCATATTTCAACCGTTTTCTATCAGATTCGGCCAACCATAAGTCGGTTAGAAACTAACAAGCCAGATGTTTTTCATAGATTTTTGATGCCTCACGGCCAACCATGACAATACCGTTTATACAGTGGCTTTTAGGAATTCTTCGCTAAACGTTTAACATCCTCTTATTTATGATCCGTCTAAGAAACATAAACGAGCCTTCGTTGGGTTTGCCGGCGAAGGCCTTATCGTGTATGATTTTGCTTTGTTTTAACTGTTCGATGTGCATGTCTTCAACTTTAGGCGTATGTCCTCAAAATAGTCGTACAACTTGCCTGTCTATACTACCGAATGATGCTATTGATAGAATTAATATCAGTTTAATGCATAAATCTCCCATGAGCTTGATGTCCTTCCTTTATTTATGCACTTCAAGTTGACGTTGCCGTCTACATAGAAACGCATATATTTTATGCTGCAAGACTTCAATGCAGGCTACTGTTTGGTGGGCAATTTTACGACTCCCGGAGACATTCGTACGTACCTGCTCTGCTGCCCTTGTACCCTGTGCAGGATTAAGCATACTGGTTTAGTGACAAATCATACGTGTTTGTCCTGTATTACTTTTTATTTACGAGAACAATTAGTCTAAAACGGTTGTCCTAGTGCCCTCTGTATTGCACAGTCGCAACTCTAATCCATAATTCTGTGTATTTTTCCAGGATGAAGGTTATGTAAGAGAAGGGAGGCAATCCGAATTAGACCCTTTTCCTTTTATTGGCGGAAAAAGGACTTTGGTCCCCTGGCTACTGCTGCTTGGCAAGCAGTATAGATGTGTGGGCATTTTCCAGACAAGAGATATTGCCTACGCCTTAAAATATCAGCTAGAAAAGTGTTCCAATACGAGGAGGCCCTAAGTGTGAAGAGAATACATAAAATATATGCAATAGCAACTTGTACCTTTTCATTTTCATTTAAGATCTTTATTTTGATATTAATGTCACCTGAGATGCGAGGTTTCATGCAGTCTATAACAAATCTTATGAGTAAGCGTAAATAACGCGATATCTCTTGAGCAAGATAAGCGGCTTCACTATAAAACTGTAGGCAAATTTTTCAAGGATTATGCGTACTTAGTTTGAACGCTCCTAGGACGTCACTCGTTGGTTTGGAGCCATGAAGGCAAGGGCCACATAACGTGATTATTGTCTTAATAACTCTTTTCTGAATGTGGAAACATTTCCTGTCTTTTGTTGTAAACCAGCAAAACCTGCAGCAAATAATGCTTTTTTTCAAATAAATATTTATTTAGTCTCAAAAAAGATCAATCTAAACGGAAGTCTCGTGCTTGCAAATCATTCGAGGCAGTATCAGGAAACCTGTGTTCATTTTAAATCATAGGTCTTTTTTCATAGGTAGAGAGATCGGCTGATAATCCAAAAACGATTTTGGAAGACGAAAAAAGCTACCATCAAATGGCCGTACGCAGGCCCGAATGAATTGCAAAGTAAAAAAAGTCAAGTCGAGGGGAAATAAGCTGGTAAAAAGCGTTAACGTAAATGGCCAATTCAAAGGAATTTTACTACAATGAAGTTTCCTGTGCCTGGCGCCTTGGCAGAAGTTCTTTTCAGGCTGAATTCGAGTGCTCCTCATCAAACTTCTGCCTGTCAGTCATTTTGACTGGATTACAGGAATTCGCCGGAGAGAATCTCAGTTTAAGTTAGTAAGCTCAAAACGAATTTGGCTATTTTTCTTGCGAGTACAGTATTATTGTCCGAAGGGTGACTTGTGCGAAAAATAACCCAACTTGGCCCCTTTGTCTTTCAAAGTTCCTGGCACTGACCAGTAATTTCCAAAAACTTTGCACTCATTGTAGCGGTAGGAATTGCATCTCCGAAAACTTGCAATACACATAATGAGACACTTTGCAGAGTATCCGGGCCGGACTACTTCACAAACAAGCAGAGTCAAACTTCAAGGAAAAGTTATGGTCGCATACACGTACGGAAAACTGTTCAATTCAGACTGCTAAAGTTCAACTATCATATCCTGCAGAATGGTAAAGGGCAAAATGACCTATAACAGAAGGCGCTGCGCACGAACTTTTCTGCGAATAGGCAAAGCTAAAAGCAAGAAAACGAACGGTATCTCCCAAGGCGCGAAAGCACCTAGGGCGTTTAAACAAAATAATACCTCCGAATGGTTGATGACAGGAGTCAATATAGGCGACTTAGGCTAGGTAACCTGCTCTTGCGCTTAGGTGCTTATTTGCGCCGAATCGGTCAATCGACAATAATAATCATCAGGTAGTGAAACATGGATTCTGGTCGAAGTTCAGAAACAGTATACGTCGACATTCAAAAAACAACTAGCATTTCATTACTGTTGTGGATTGCGATTACGTTCACTGGCTTCCTAAGTCGGCGCTTTTTTGCTTCAATAGTTGAAAAACGGAAGAACCTATATCTTTCATCGAATTGACTCTGCTTATTTAACTTACCACTCTACTTACGTGGTCGGACAATTGTCCTAAGTCAAAAATGAGGCGTATCGGTTTGCGCAGGAGCTCAATTAAGTGTTCTTCACAGCCATCAATCAGCGCCGTAGCGTATGAGCTGGGATGGTATAACGACCAGATGTCGATATATGTGGTGCTGCATTTCCTACTAGGACACGGGCTATTCATTTGGAAGTGGATTTTACGGCGGCAGGCACATGAGAGAAAGACAGGAGCCCATAGATACTTCGTCGCTCACAGAGCGGTCCAGACTAAAGTTAACCGCTCTGGTTTCTGAAGGCATCTTCTGGTATTCATCAAATTTTGCAGTAGATAAGGATCCTTTCTGTGAGGCCTAGCAGACTATTTTAATTAACCCACTTATAACAGACTACATGAATAATTAAGCAGGTCGACTAACAAAAGTTACAGGCACACCTGTTTGAAGACCAAACAGAGCTCTATTTCAGGTAAAAAATAATGGCAACAGCTAAGTACAAGTACCGGAATACTGTGATTCTCCCGAAGAAGATACGATGACATTACTGAAAAACATACAAAAATGATGATGTTTAATTAACCTTCTTGTCCACTTGGGATTTGTCAGTTAGACTGAGGAGTTCCTTGGCCAAAAGCTTACGAAGGCGTCGGACGTAATTTGATTTTCGACTTATACAATCTCAGCTAGTGTGTTTTCCATTTGAAGGTATAATGGAAAATGTCGTTGCATGTCTTCTGAAGCACCACGCATACTGTATCTAAGGTACGTGGTATTTATTTCTTATAGGCAGAGAACAGAATTAATAAGTGTTGGAACAAGGGGGCGACTGAACGACACACAATAACCTTGATCTTTCAATATAACAGGAGTGGTTATTGCCAGGCATATAAAGCCGGGAGTTGTGCTATGGGCATCACAACTGTCATTAATAGTATTTCCCCTCCGCTGCAGATAAATTTTGAAAAGTACATTCTGTGATTTTTACAAGCGCGGAGGTTTGTTGCTCCGCAAGACAACTTGTAGTACTAAAACAGTACTTCGAACATTGGTACTTAACATGCGTACGCATAAAACGTATATGCAGAAGGTTTCGGCAGTCTAGTAGTACATGAAGTGAGACCCCGTACGGATGTTGCGATGATGGCAAGGCTCATACGACCAACGCAGCACATTCTAAACATTTGGACAAAGCTCAGCCGTCGTTTATCTCCCCAGCCGTGCATTACAATATGTGAAGCTTACTCTGTGTTTCGCTATGAACGTCACTGAGCTTCGCGACGAAGAACAGTGCATTTGAACCTGATGATTAACTAACCTACGACGACGGCCAGCAAATTATTCTTATGTTTCCGGTAGGTAGCCGGGCATTGAAGAGTCCACAATAGTTGCATTGTCTTCTTGGACGGCAGGAAACGCAGATTTACCTTTGTAGCTGACATTTTTTCGCATTCAACATAAAGTCAGTGAGAATCACCGGCTTACGTTGATGCGGCACATTTCAAATAAAGAATTTTCCTATCGTAGCATCGTCCGTGGCCGATAGAAAACACAGCGATTTAGAGAGTAGCACTGAACAAAGAAGTGCAAAATTTATACCTACTTTTCATTGCAAACGTATGCGATAACCAGCTCCCTCTGATCTATAAGATGTAATGCGATAAAGGTTATCCCGTTAAGAGCTAAACGAACCTTCAGGGTGCTGTACTGACTAAGTTATGTACAAAACTGCTCGAAAAATATTCGGCATGAAAGTTGTAATCTATTACGACTTAAATGTAGTTTTGACTGCTGTTGCAGTGCAGAAGCAGGCTCACCACAAAAGTTTCCCTAATACAAATAACACGTTTTTGATGATAAGATAAAGTAACTTAAGAATGGCATAACCGTCCGACAATTACGCCAAAGTCTGCTGTTTGTGATTAGGAAGGCAAAACTTTACTGTCAAAACGGGTATATTTATAATGTACGAATATACTGCCCCACACACCTATTTAGATAATTAAAACGCATTATTTCTATATATAAATGTCTTAAATATATGGACGAATGAATTAAAGAGGTAAAACTCAATGCTCTCTGGTCTTGTTGAAAATTATTCACTAGATTGTATAAATGTTCGATCTAAATTTAACACACTACAACACTTAAAAGGCGGCAGTTAAAATCTAATTGAATGTCTTAATTACGGATAATGTCGTTACTTACAACGATAGACAGTGAAATTGTGGTGGACAGGAAGATGGGTACTCCCTGATCACGCGCGATGAGCTCGAAGTGGAATCCAGAAACCACCTCCCTATCTATAGATTTCAGTAGGCACAGTGACGGTATAGGCGCATCATGCTGCACAGTATTGAAGTCCGCACTAATGCACCCGCCGTCCGTCCCAGAGAGCATCCTAAAGTGCTGCTGCCACAGTGCGTTAGGTGAGAATTTGTCGATCTGGTAAATCAGCGCCGCATTCTTGCCTTCATCCAGGTCCGTCGCCTGAGGGAGTGGGATCACTGTACCTTGTGGTGTATTCTCTGGCAGATGTAAAACTACCAGATTCTCCTTATTCAGTCTGCTGACTATGGAGTCCGTAGGTGAAGCGAAGCGGGGCACATTGTCGTTCACATCGATCAGCTGGACACGAATAGCAAAAGTGCCGTACGTTCCTACAGTGATGTCGACGAATAGGCAACAGCTATAATCCAAACCACTGCCAGTGAGAGAGACGGCTTTTTCAGCCACTGAAGGACAGCACTTTTGCGCGATAGCAACCCGATGAGGGAACATGAGTTCATTGCAGACCTCTTCTCGGTCAATAGGTTGATCTGTTGTCAGTTGATACCAGATGCTGCCATCACTGATGACAGACTTGATAACAAATGGTCTGCTCTCTATGGCATCGGTGAAATAAATAGCTGTCGAGGATATTTCTGATTCTGCGATGTTAAGCTCCTCCTGGAAGAGTTTAGACAGGTTGAGTGAAATTTTTTGCGGAAGACTGGGAAGCGGGAGTGCAGCGTACCCAGATTGCTTGGAATGTTGCAGCTCCAGAGAGTTGGCTTCCTGCACAGTGATCGATGTGACATATTTGCAGGAATGAATACCAGCAATTAACTGACTTAAGATCAGGAGGGCCGAAAAAATATGCCGGCTCCAGGTAAACGAGCGCACCATCGATTTTGACTGACAACAGGGATATTTCTGCAAAGAATTAAGACGGCCTTTAGGGCGACGCAAGTGATCTGCTGAAAGTGCTCCCTAAGCAAGAGTGAAATCAAATTAACTGTTTGCATACAAAAGGCCTATAACATTGACCACACGGTAGGTTCAGAATTTATGCTTGCTATTTTTAATGTCTCGGTTTCAGCCAAAATATTACAGAGTCAACGATTAGTAAATGAAAATCCTGGTTGATCGATAAGCCTTATGAGTAAATGTTCTCTCCAAAAACCTATCAATAGTTGGATTTGAGCGTGGAAAAGCTTATAAAATGTGACATGCTAATTAGTCAGTGAGAACATCCTGAGTCATCTGAGGCAACATCATACAAGAAAGTGCGACAGAATGAACATATCTAAGTTTAGTTCTTGGGTAATAAAATATCCGCTGTTATCTTCCGATTAAAAGCGTAACAGGAATTACCGAGTATAGAGTTCTTTCTTTACAAAGGGGCACCCACACAAAACCTCCAGTTTGAAGACCGGGTAGCCATCCAAGAAAGTAGTTGTGATTTAGGAATGCATCTGGGCAACCAGTAGCATATTCTTGTCGCCCAATATTACATGGTTTATTTGTAAGAAACTCGCTGACACCTGTAGTTGCATGTATGATTGCAAGTATAAAATAAATAACATTTTTCGGAATAAAACACAAACATTTAAGCATGTATCTTAAATTTTAGCTATCAGAAGAATGCACTGCTAATTTCCAAATGTAACTTATGAAATCGTCTTTGGGATCGTTTTACGAATTATATAACCCCAGGCGTACTTAATTGCTTTTAAGTGCAAACTCTGCCAAGCCACTTCAATACTGATTAATACAAGCACAAGAGAAAGGAAAATTTTCTTACTATGAAAGTATCTTAAACGTTTCCTGGAATGAACTAGGTGGCAACAGATTATTTGGCTTTGTCTCATTCCCCAATTTGCCTTTTATATGATTTATTAAAAAACCAGTCATAATACAGAACTTACTGCGCCTCTAAGTATCTTGACACCGATTACCCCTTTTAGCAAGTTGATTTGGCCGTTGTATGGCGTAAATGTAATTTTTTACTTTGTCCAGCATGAAAAGTAATTTGAGCATGTCAGACATCGACATAGAAAATGCTTAAGTTTTTCTGTGTGAGCTGGTAAACTGTAGATTTCTCATTAAACCAATCATAATATTTCGCATCTTGGCGACTGAGGTTCGGCTGCACTTTCGCTTGCGTCTGAGCGAGTGCGTCTGTCACTGACTTTCGTAAGCGCTTTTTAAGCAAAATAGGGTAGCGACTTTACGCGCCACATAGCCGAGTCCTTTTGAAGGCAGTCGGAATTTCACCATAACATGTTCGGTGGGCTTTTCTTAAATGTCCAACAGAAAAACCTTATCTATTTCAAGCATACCTTTATAGCCTCTTTCCTTGATCAGTAACTGAGCCCTTTGAACATTGCAATATTGAGTAGACGCGCTTACCTTTCCTTGGTGGTTTCCCCGTCAGGCACTTAGACAAGGCAATTAGACAATAAATTAAACAAACTGAGGCAAATAGTTGCTCAAGCATTATAGCTAACACTTCACAGAATGAATAAAAACCATGCTTTGGATTACCTTTGGTGGATATTATGCAGAAAATATTCTCAGTTTGTTTTCCGATGTGCTGAAGAGTGAATGAGAAGGCGGTGGGCTCGCTGTAGAGCACCAGGGTTAATACTACCGCTCGAAAACAGAGCATGTGCACACGCACGCACCAGCACAAACGGACGGGCGGACGCCTACGCGCACACCGAGAGACCAACACGGCGTGTCATTTGGGCGCGCTTTCCCCTCTCGGAAGGATGCTCTCTCGCTCTCTCTACCTCTCGCTCACACTTGTGTGTCCTCCTCCCGCAGCTCTACATCTTGTGTGTGTGATATTTTCAACTGCCTTCTGATTGGTGCAGCCAAGATGATAGCTGAAAAGCCCACTAAGTCGGCGACGACGGTGGCTACTATAAAAAGGCAAACTGTAAAAATGTTTTTTTTGACAGGACTCCGGTCCCAACCGGGCTAGATGGATGTCCGTCAGGTACGAAGAAGAGGAGATGTCGGATGTGAAGAGGAGTACGATGTCACTAAAAGGAGTGTGCGGTATATGTCCAATGCAAATATGTGTGACGAAAATACTTAATGAGGTGTTTTGCGGTTGTAAAGACACCAAATTTGGCAAGCTAGGTAATACCAAATATGCACTTTGTCCCACACGATCGCTAGAGCATATGACACATAGAAGACGAGAAACCGCAGGCCAGGTGAATGTAAGCCATGTTCGTGAGGACGAAATTAGATAATAGATGCATTAATAGCAAATAAAATGCATGAATGGGGTCTACGCACATATCTGTTCTCCGAAAAATGTTTACTGCAAATGAGTCAAATTAGTGACGTTGGCCAAAGTGTTGGAGGAATGTTTTATTCATTATTATACTTGTCAGTCTTTTACCCTCCCAGGGGAAAACATATGGAGAGGAACTTGTCGAAGTCAATTTGGGCTTGTGGAGATTGGTCAAAAGAAGGGTAGAAAAGATTCCGGAATTATGGAGCACTGCATGGTCGTCACCGAACTCTCCTGATTACCGCACGAAATACGGGCTGTCGTTGGGTTTGCTGATTCTGTCAGAGAGTTTTATGGGCCATGTCATAAAGCCGAAAAATGTCTAATCAAGGGATGTTAACGATACATCAACGGGAGCTTTAAAGGCTGGTTCTTATTGGTTAGTTAGTTATTGTATTCCTAATTGCGACAAACAGGACTGAGATCTCTTGCCTCTGTTATCGAGTGTTTTTTTTACCGAAAAATCGGTTTGTGCCAGGTCTTTCTAATAGGAACCGACTCCCTGACACCAGCATAAGAACCAGAAGGAACCATTTTGGTCGCCTTTGCTTTGCCAGCAGCACGTCGAATAAATGGTTACTTGTTTCTTCCAAAAAACTAAAAGTATAGTGAGAAGAAAGCTAGACATTGATAACTTATCACTTATCTTGTAGCAGATATTTAAACCGGTAACGTAATGGAGAACCGGATCATTTTACATAGACGCGAAGCAAATTTGAGTCTTCAATATTTGTGATACCTATCTAACTTTCATTGCCCTATCGTAAATGGAGAACTCTAGCTAGTTTCCTGATTTATCTGGAAAGGTGAAAGCATGCCCAACTGTCAGAGTAAGTAAATAAGTGCATGACATATAGTTATAAATCGCTCCGATTAATCGATGGGATTCAATAAATGTTAGGAAGCTGTCATTATATACTTCACCCGGCGTGAAAGGAAGTCGCCCACCACCATGGTTAGGCCCATTTCCTATAGTTGTAATACATACTTAGCATTGTAACATCTGAACAAGGAAATCTCGAAGCATCGTTAATCCGAAAAGATGGCGGACCAAAATGACAGATAAACAAAGTTAAATCCCATGGATGTTTGTCTAAACCGGTCACTCTACAACTTGATTTGCTTGACATTGTACTGGGCAAACCCTTCTTCCCTAGTAGAGATAAGCCGTTTTCGGTTGTTTCCATGTCTGCAACAAACCTTATTGCCAGCTTTATTTGGGCGCATATTTGCCCTTCAGTGGTTAACGATACGTGAAGTATTATCGTGGCATCTGGCCTATTATGGGTCTTTATCTCAACTCTATGGAGACGAAAGTGTGGCGAAGTAAGTCCGTCTAATATTTCGACGGAAATATATCATACGTACATAATGCAAACGGAATAGAAAGGCTATGTATGTCGGAGAGGTTCACTCCCCGAGTGCTTGAGTCCATAGTTTGGTCATTTCCGGGGCCGACATACTAGTAAACTAGTAGGTAAAATACAAGTGACTCAAAAAACCCTTTTTGGTCTTCAGAATTGATGGTGAAAAATCAGTGAGCCCCTGGCACTCAAGATAACATTTTTCAAATACGAGCCAAAATACCTACCCATCAAAAAGCCTACTTTATTGAAAAATAGACTTGCTGGTAACTATACAAATATGCGTACTTTAGGCCGAAAAGTTACAAAAACTTGCACTTTATAAAATGAACTTCATCCATTAAATGAAAGTGACCGAAAATTATGAAAAAATTTAAATCAAGGTCATAAAAAAGTTAAGTTCTTTTCCCAGAAATATACTTTTAGTCGATGAAAAGATCAATATGCTAAATTATTTGTTGGTGAAAACGATGAGAAAAAATAAAGCAACACACGAATGCCTAGCAAACACTTTTGTGCTATAGTATAACAGTTGAGGGACCGTGATGACATTCGTGTTCATTTCGATTTCACATTCCACTTATCAGACACTTATTACCGAAAACCCATCAGAGTTAATGTACCATTTGCATTGTTTGACAAGCCTTCAGAATCAGGGACTAATACTTTGTACATTTCCTAATAAAAATTTCCCAAAAATACTATTCCCTCTTAATTTGTCTGTAATAAAAAACCGTGTCAAGGTTTTGTTCCCAATGTTGGGCGATTGAGACGATGTTTTAAAGCAGTAAAACTGTTCTCCCATCTAGAATGAAAGATTCACTCGAAAAATTGTGATTCGCATGAGGTGGAACTGAAGCATGTTAATCACATAGATCCCGCAAGCTAGGGAAAAAGATAGTGAGGAAGATTAATTTTTTCGTTGAAAGAACAATTATTCCGCTGTCTTTTTCTGTGGAATATTTTAGCTGTTCACTCAATTAGTGTATTCAAACCTCATTAAACAGACGTATTTGTTGTACGATCACGGAATTTTACATTAGGTACCACTTCATGTCACAGTCAATAATCAGGTAATTAATGGCAAAAAGAGTGAAAGTTGATACGCTGTCACAACCAAGAAAAACCGTCAGATTAGCAGTCTATAAACAAAAGTCAGCAATAATACACACGTTATTTCTGAAGTGCAATATGATAATTCTTATAATCAGGCTACGGAAATCACGGCGCACCTCAGCATCAACATCTGGAATGCACACTAAGATAATACGTTTCAGCCACATGTCTAAGCAGAGATTAAGGAAGCTGACCCACTTCTTGTTCTCAATTGACCGCCAAAAGGTTTCTCGGTATCTTATAGAGTGTTTTGTATTGCATGTTTTACGAGGTCTGTTTATTCGGAATGTAGTTTTGTGTCACAATGTTGCTTGAAAATCACGAAAAAATTAAATGGCAGACAACACAAGCTCTCTTGAACAATAGAACTCGTACGATACACAAGAGCATTTGTCACTGTGAGACATGCACGACAAGTATTAACAGTCTCCGAAGTTTCAAAAATCTGGCAAGATTTCATTATTTTACAAGCTTAAAATTATTTATCATCCCCTTATTAAAATCTCACGGAGAGCATCAACCAATTCCTTTTTATCGGCTTGTGAAAATTGGAACTGTTTGCGAACGCACACACTTGTACTTGAATTAGGCCCTTCAACTCAGGCGTTACCTTAACTTCATCGCAAGTCTATGCAGCATTCCTGCAGATGGAAATACACGTAGCGTTAGCAACCTGTTCTGATTATTCAACTAATAGGGCACGTTCAAATGCTTAGACTTCATTCTTTCGTAAATGCTCATCGCGCTAGCAACATTTATGGTTGGAAAGTGGATAATCCACCCATTTAAAAAGAGCAAATAGAAGATCGAACAAAACAAAATTCTTTGCTTGCTTTCGTCAACTTTCAGCATGTGCGGTCGGCGTGATCAAAAACAGAGCGGAACTATGCTTTTTATGATAACATCCATATCCGCACTCCATTCGAATTTCATCTGCGCAGTTAAACCGAGTTTTCGATAAGTGCCTTTGTCCCGAGCGGCCAATAAGGAAAGCGACCCAGTGACAGCAAAAGGCAGTTCTAATTGAAAAAATTCGACTTTTATAAAAGAGGAGATAAGATCCATACTGCTCGTAATCCGTGTAGTAAATTTCCTGGATCCTTTACTTTTAAAGTTGAAAGTTGGGCAATTAAATCATCCTCATGTCGCCGGAAAGTTTCGTAATCGTGCTGTTCAATTCCATAATTTGTTAGTGGTAAAGGTAGCACTTTCGATCTAAATCCCTTTTCGTTTGGAATTTTGACTATAAAAACATTGTTTAAATGATAGATCTCTTAAGCAAAAAATTATTTTAGCTAATCATATTTTGATTTCCAGACTGCTTATCTTTTATTTTTTCGCCAAAGTTTTGGCTTAGAAAGCGACCATTTAAAGGCATACAGTAAATAAACGACAGATTCAATAAAACTAACAGGTGTCGACCACAGGAATATTAATCACCTTCATTACTACAAAGGATTTTGCGTTAAATTCTAGGGGTTTCAATGCCTGCATTCTAACTTTAACTCTTATCCTTCCCCCAACAGAGGTCTGACTCTAGAACCTCTGAAATAGAGAGCAAGGTCTTGTGTAATACGCTGAGCCTATATGTCCTTGTCCAACCGTAATCGGAAACATGTCACCGCATAAAAATATTGTCGAAAATCGGCATTACGCCGAGTCAGAAAACTGAGCTCTACTAAACTGCGCAATGCTACAAATTTGGGCGGTGTATCTTCCGCTAACTCTTGAAGAAGCAAACTATCCTGCCACTTATAGAGCACTTTCAATAGGCCATCTTCCTTGCTTGCCTGAGTTCTATACGCTTAAGCTCGACCATTAATGATTGGACATATTCTCAAGTTACGGATTATTTCTTCTTCTGAACATAGACTAATCAAT